TGTATCCATCCCACGGCCTGGGTTCGGTACCTTTGACTGTACAGTTGACGTTGACTCTTGAATTTCCTGTGTGCAGTGTTTGGTCACACAGCCACGCTCGACAGACTCAGGCCCGGGCATGTCTTGGTCACACAGCCCGGCGCAGACCAACTCAGGTCTGCGTTTCCAGGGGCCGGGTTCTGGCCCCAGGCGTCTTCTGAACAGGGTTATTGCAGAGATGGCAAAGCCTTCCTCCCCGGTACCTGATCCGGTAGCTATGGCGCGGCAGGGCCGCTGCGTCTGTTCCTTCTCGCTGCTGCGCTCGTCTTCTCCTCGCTGCTGCGCTCGTCTTCTCCTCGCTGCTCGCGCTAAACGCTGCTGCGCTGCGCTAATCTCACTAACGCTGCAAGGCTGCGCTAATCCTGAAGACTAACTCCAACCTCACTAACTTCTAACCTCCCTACTGAGGCTGGTACCCAGCCTTTTGTAGTGCTGGGCCGGCCTCCTACCTGCTGGTACCTACCGGCCTGGACCGTTGATCTGATCAACGGTCCAGATTCAAACTGGACTTGGAGCCTAAATGCGGCAGCCTCTGCAGCGCCGCCGGTAGGTCCTATGCTGGACCGGTACCGGCCTTGTGGCCGTTGGCCTGGGCCTCTACCCCTGGCCTGCCTGAACCGCCGTGGTCCAGGCCTATCTGGGCCTCATCTGAACCGTCATCCCTTAGGCCTACCCTGCCTATTTGGAACCGGGCCCTAACTGGGGCCCGTGTGGCTCAGAATGCCTCTCAGCAAGGCATCCATTCCATCGGCAGAACTCAGAAATCAGCAGTGTTCTCAGTCCGTGTTATGGCGGGTCATTATACTACGAAGAAATTGTGAAATTCAAGAACCACTCCTCACCTTATTTCTACCAAACCCGACATTCCAATTGACACTATTACCTCTCTGAAACCAATCGTAGCTGTCCTGTTCTCACTACCAAGTCTAAAGCCGGCTTCACACCCCCAAATGCTAGGCTACAGGGCAGCGCGACCCACCCCAGCTCCGACCACGTTTCTCCTGCCAGCAGTCCACGATTGGCTACTAGATTGCCTTCCACCCTCGACAATCCCCTGATCTCTCTACCTGTTCTCAAGCTCCTGCTTCAACAGGTTACAGGAAAAACTCCCCTACACCAACCAGCGTCATTCTGGCATCGGCTATCCTAGACCACTAAACATCGCAGCTTCGTTTGGCATCAGATGAGCCTCTCTAACACCACTGAAAGCCTGGATCCAGTGTCTGTAAAAGTTTGAAGTAACCATGACAACTGATGATTGCTGATGGTTA